GGGGCGGGCATAGCTGGCTCTGCCTCTAGATAGGCAGAGCCAGCTGTCACTCACGCAGCTGGGAGGTTCCAGACAGTAATGTCGGGATCCTTCCTGGCTGCGCCGTCTCAGTATATCGTGAGCTGCAGCTCGCGGTATACTGAGCTTAGGGTGACGGGAGGACGCTAGTTTGTGTCCTCCCGTTACCCTTAGGAGAACTATGGGGAAAAACACTTACCCCATAGTCTCCTTTAATGTCCAACAATCCAAAATGAATGCAAATCCAAATTAAATAATCCAAAATGGCAAAGTTAAGAATAGGGGGACCAGGTGATTCTCTCCTGTCTCTCCCGGGGCTCTTCATGTTCTCCCTTATGCCACCACCGGCCCTGGGAAAGGTCTTATTTTCGGGGTAGGTCTTTTATATTTTAGCAATTCCCAAAAATAGTACCTGGTCTTATTTTCGGGGGAACACGGTACCAATATTACTACTGAAATCAGACAATGGGGGTGCTCAACCAGAACCTGACCTTTCACATATACTGTACATCCTCACATACAAGTGGGACAATGTACAATCAACGTAGTCACCCTGGTAATGGATGTTTGATGAGCGCCCCCTATAAAGTTATATTTCTTGATAAACTATCTGAGGCGGCTGGTCTACAAGGTACACCGATCCCATCAGATGGAGGTATGGAAATGGGAGATTTGTCTTTGAATTAGGACGCTGTGCACACTGTGTGTTTATAGTAATAATCTGTATAAGTCTTCGTGCATTCCTTTACATTTTCCTCGCAGAGAGTGACCGGCCAACGTGCGGTAACCAAATCGTAGAAGCCGGGGAACAATGCGACGTGGGGATGAATGACAATGACACCTGTTGTTACAGTGCCAATGCTGGAGAGGGTCTGCAGTGTACACTGAAACCAGGAAAACAGTGCAGGTGAGTGATAGCTTGAAGACCATTTGTAAAATCTACATTCTCTAATTATTATAATTAGGGATGCACCGATACCGATACTGGAATCAGTGTTGGTGCCCATACTGAGCATTTGGGCGAGTACTCGCTCAAATGCTCCGATACTTACACTTAGGGTTGCACCGATACCAAGTACAGTACTCGGTACAAGTACGAGTACAAGTACCGATACTTTTGAGCTCCAAGACTACACTAGAGAAAAATGTAAAAATTAGGAGGCCGCTGTCATTTGCAAGGAGCACACGGAGCTCCTGGGATTTGTACATCTCTGTTTTAATGTACGATATGCTGCAGCCAGCTGTGTGAACTCCGACCCAAAGGCGAGCGCTGTCGGGATGAGGCGGAATGCACTTTTGAAAATTCCTGCACGGGGGAGTCCGCCAAATGCCCCATTTCCACCCCAAAGGGGAACTACACCTTGTGCAACTACGGTACCAGAATATGCCTGAATGGGGTAAGAGGACCAATCATATCATTATGTACATTTTCTGCATGTTCGGCTGTC